TGGGGAGAAGAGCAAGGAGGGGAGCTGAAAGATACAGGAAGAACCGGGAAGGGGTGGGGGAGGGGGGCAGGCGGCAAAGGAAAAGGGAGCTTCCGAAGGAGGACGGGTTCAGCAGTGTTTTGCATTCCTGAGTGCCCCCAGTGCCCGGCACACAGCAGCTGGTTCACTTGCTGCTGAATGAGGGCACCCATGGGCGAGCTGAAGGCAAAACTCTCATAGATACAAACCCTGAGGCCTCCAGGGCCGCATATTATGGCCAGGGCAGGCCAACTCCCCCACTCCCCACCTCTGGCAGGGAAGCTTGAGAAAAGTGGACTTAGAAAAGGTATCCTTAGGAGGGAGACGCATGCAAAAGTTCAGAACGGGGCTCAAAAGCCAAGAATGAGGGTGTGAAAGGTAGGCCAGAAGGGGGAGCTCTCCCGCTGAACCGCTCCAGGTTAATGACAGGAAGACCAATGAAAGACTCCTCAACAGGAAAGAATGATCAACTACCCGCGCCAAGGGGAAAAGAATGTACGTTGCATCTCCCACAAGAAATAAACACACACACACACACACACACACACACACACACACACACACACACACACACACACACACACCCGCAACTCAGCCAATGAGAAACCACCATCACCCTGGACTCATGCTTTTTTTCCAATGGACTCCGGTTCAAAACAACCCCTCCAGGGGCGCCTGGGTGGCTCAGTCCCTGAAGGGTGGGACTCTTGGTTTCTGCTCAGATGATGATCTCAAGATTGTGAGATCAAGCTCCGCATCGGGCTCCGCCTTGGGCCAGGAGCCTGCTTAAGATGTTCTCTCTCCCTCTCCTTCTGCCCCTCACCCCGCACCACAGGGGCGCAGGTTCTCTCTCAAAATAAACACACAACCCCTCCCAACTTCCTCCTCCTTCTCCATAAAATAACGGTCCTCTCCTTTGTTTGCCAGACTTGCCTATGGTTTTGTCATAGTTTGCATGTCCCAAATCATAATTCTCTGTTATTCCTGAATAACCCATTTGCACTGGTAAAATAATGTTTTATTTTTAAGGTTAACAAGGGGGTATAGGCCTCTTGATCCAGTCGTCCAATCCAGGAGCCAAAATTCATAGATGGGGCGTTGGGGGAGGCGGAATGGGACTTCTTTGGTCAAAGTTTCTTCCAACTGCCAGCCAATAACAAAGGCAGAATCAAGAAGTAAGGCTGGACCAACCCAATTAAGAAAGAAGGTCTCTATCCACTGTCAGCTAGAAGGTAAAGAAGAACAGGAGGGTGGGGTGGGGCCAGCATAATCTGGATGGTGGAAGTAACCAGGACCCCCTGTTCACTGTCAGCCAATCAGGAAAAGAGAACAAAATGAAGGGGCTGAACCAGTGGCTTCCACCCAGGGCAAGATCCTAGGCTAAGCCCCTTGGTTTTCTTTTCTTTTCTTTATTTATTTATCTGACATGGAGAGAGAGTATAAGCAGGGGGGAGTGGCAGAGGGAGAGGGAGAAGCAGGCTCCCCGCTGAGCAGGGAGCGCGATGCAGGACTGAATCCCAGGACCCTGGGATCATGATCCTATCAGAAAGCAGACACTTAACCAACTGAGCCACCCAGGTGACCGGGATTCCTACATTCTTGCCCACATTTGATGACATCAGTCTTCTTACTTTTAGCCATTCTTTGGGTATATAACTGTATCCCACTGTAGTTTTAATTTGCATTTCCCCAATGACTAAGGATGTTAAGCACCTTGCACATGCTATGGCCATGTGGAAATTATATTTTCTGAAATTCACATTCGCATCTTTCCCATTGGAGAAAAAAAATGGACGGCCTGTTTTTATCTTATATCATTTTTTTTCCAATTTGTGACTTGCCTTTTCACATTCCTCGTGGTCTTTTCATAAGAAGAAGTTTTAAAATTTGTAAAATCCAATGATCATTTTTAAATATTACGCTTAGGTTTTTTGTGTCCTGTTTAAGAAATTTTTATCTACCTATCCAAAGGTTATAAATATACTCTTTTATGTTTTTGGATAGAAACTTGATAGCTTTAGCTTTCTTATTTAGGTCTAGGATCCATTCTGAGTTAATCTTGTGGCCACCATCCTGGACAATACAGTTCTAGGTTGAGATTATGAAAAAAAAATAAGATATGAAATAAGGAAGGGTTCAAGATTAATTTCTTCCTATATTGATAATACAGTTTCCTTAGCATTAATGGACAAGACTATCTTGTCTCCACTATATTGAATTGGTACCTTTGTCTTGTTAAGAAAGAAACCACAAACCCTAAATGGCCACTTGTTCTGAGCCCCACATCAGCAAATCAGGACTAAATACCTAACCTGATTGCAGTTTCAGCCTCTCCCAGGAATGTGACTTTTAACCAGTCATTCTTGCCAACCCGCCAGTTATTTTATCAGCAAAGATGGGTTAATTCGGGAATAACAGAGAATTGTAATTCAGGACAAGCAAGCTATGACAAAACCGTACACAAGCCTGGAGAACAGAGGACAGGAAAGCTCTTTTACAGAGAAAAGAGGAAATTGGAGGGGGGCGTACTGTTAAAAACAAACGGTCCTTTGGAGTTCTAAGTACAGTGCCTTTTCATTGACTAAGTTGTGAGTCTCTCATTGGCAGGGCTGTTGCCGGGGGAGGAGGAAACTTTTCTTCTTCCTGCCCTGATAGTCAAGTAGTAGCTAAGGTAGTATTGATTTCCAAGGTACCACTTTTCCTGTGGGGTCTTCAATTGACAAGGACAATTGATAACAAGAAGTAGGGCATGAGACCTACCCCTTCTGGCCTCCTGACTCCATTTTATTTATTTATTTATTTATTTATTTATTTATTTATTTAAAATCAGTTGTGTTTACTTTTTTACTTAAGATTTTATTTGTTTATTTGTCAGAGAGAGCACAAGCATGGGGAGAGGCAGGTAGAGGGAGAAGCAGGCTCCCCACTGAGCAGGGAGCCCGATGCCGGACTTGATCCCAGGTGGGATCCAGCCCTGTATCAGGCTCCCTGCTCTGTGGGAAGCCTGCTTTTCCCTCTGCCCACTCCCACTGCTCATGTTCCCTCTCTGGCTGTCTTTCTCTCTGTCAAATAAATTAAAATCTAAATAAATAAATAAATAAATAAATAAATAAATAAATAAATAAAATGAAGTTTCCTTTTGTTAATTTTCACACCACTTAAGCAAGAAGAGTGCCTTAGTTCTGGAATGCGGTTCCTTTAGACTTCTTTGCATCCACAGCTGTTTGCTGTCTTTAAAACACATGAATTTTTTGTTTCTCCTTTTCCCCCCAGCTATTATGGAAGGAGACTGTGATATTATGTTGTGATTTATAATAAGAAAAATCTTGGTCTTCCATCCATTCCTGGCACTGAGCTCCTAAAACCCCTGGAGTTTCCTATTATAAAAGCAATCAAGGTGGCTTTTGTTATGTTCATAAAGTGACTTTTGGAAAGCCCTTAGGTGACCTAAGGATGGGGGCTGGTTGGAGGGAAACAACTGTGTGAGTAGAGTTGGAACTTCAGTACCTCCCCCCAAACTCCAGGGAGGGGAGAGGGGCTGGAGGTTGAACCAATCACCAAAAGCCAATGTCAAATCCTGACTGTGTCATAAAGCCTCCATAAAAACCCGAAAGACCAAGGTCAGAGAGCTTCCGGGTTGATGAACACATAGAGATTCAGGAAACGTGGCATGCTCAGAGAGGGTATGGAAGATCCACAATCTTTCACCATACTTTGTCCTATACAGCTCTTCCATCTGGGTGTCCCTGAGTTTTATCCCTTTATAATAAACCAGCAATCTGGCTTTTTTATTAGTAGGTAAATTGTTTCTCTCAGTTCTGTGAGCCACCAAGCAATCAAACCCAAAGACGTTGCAGGAGGCTCTGATTTTTAGCCAGTGGGTCAGAAGTACAAGTAAAAACCTAGGCTTGCATCTGACCTCTGGGAGAGGGGCACCCTTGCAGGACTGAGCCCTTAACCTATGGAGTCTGATTCTATCTCTGGGCAGATAGTGTCAGAAGTGACTTGAATTGTAGGACACCCAGCTGATGTCCAAGAATTGCTTCCACACATAATTGGAATTAGTACCAGAACCCACTTAGAGACCTTTTACATTCAATTTAGACATCAAAGTCAGTCTTTTAAAAGCAAATTTGGGTTCTCCCTGTTTAATACCTCTAAGGACTTCACTTCATATTTAAAAATCCAACCTTCTTCCCGTGACCTTCCATGCTGTGACCTGCCTCCTGCCCGTCCTCTGACCTTACTTTGTAGTACTCTCATTGTTCACCCCAGTCCCACTAATCTTTCTCTTCCTGGGACAAGCCAGGCTCCTTCCTGCCTGAGTTTTTGCACTTATTGCTCTGCTTAGAACTCTCCCAGATGTTTCTGTGGCTCTCCTCACTTCAGGTCACAGCTCAGATATTGGGTCCCCCGTAGGGCTTTCCTGAGCCACTCTGTCATAAGTCCCTCTTCCTGTTCCCCCAATTTCATCCTGGTTGTTTCTTTTTTCCATAATGTTGACCACCACTAGAATTGTGCTGTCCAGGACAGTAGCCACTAACCGCATGTGGCAAATTTAATCTAAATTAATTATAATTAAATAAAAAATTGAGTTCTTCAGTTGCACTAGCCACATTCCAAGTGCTCACTCAGTAGCCACATGCGGCTAGTAAATACCATATTGGATAGAATGGCTTACAGAACATTTCTATCATTGCTGAAAGTTCTGTTAGACAGTGCTGACCTACAACTACCTTATTGCTTTACATTTTACTTTTTATCGGTGTCCTCTTGATATACTGTAAGTTTTATAGAGGGAAATACCTCATTTATCTGAATCAGCACTGAATCACTAAGGTCTGAAACAGTGCCTGGCACACAATAGTGATTGCCCAATAAATGTTCACTGAATATATGGATAACCCCGTTGTACTCAGCGAAGTAGACACACAAAAGCATGTGAACACATGTGCATACGAGCAGAAAGCAGAAGCCTCCTCATAAACTTTATTTCTCTTAACAAATGCTAATGGAGGGGAGACTTCCTCCAGTACAGGTAGATTATTGATGTCCAAATTCAAAGGCTCCAGAAGGTGCAGCTCATGACTCTTTGAGGGAAGTGAGCTTTCAATATGATCTCATACTTTACGTTTCAGGACTCCAACTACAATAGAGCAAATGATCATAATGGAGCCCACCAGGATGCTTGAGATGCTGAATCCCAGGGCCAGTCTGGAATTGATCTGTGCTTTCCTCTGATTCCCATGAAAGTTGGCTTGCCGGGTCTGTGGGGATGAAGGCCAGCTGGTGGGAGTGCTTCCAAGGAAGGAGGGAAATGGGGAGGGACATCCCAGGGGGAAGTGGGGAGTGCAAGACCAGGAATGGTGGTGTGAGGGAGGTAAGGGCAGGGTTCAGTCCCCCAGTGGAAAAAGGAAGAGGAGCAGTGAAGGCGATCCTGGGAAGGAAAAAGGGCATCTAGATGGTGAAGGAGGGAGTAAATTCTCCAGGAGGAACACGAAGAGGTCCCTGGGGAGCAACAGGGGGATAGGGAGTAAAGGAGGAGGCATATCTGGGAGCAATGGGAGTTGGTGGTAGCCAGATCGTACCCACCTTGAGGGAGAAGAAGAGGGCCGGGATTGCCAGCAGAATGAAGAAGAAGAAGGAAATGATGGAGAGAAACAAATAATCCTTTTCTGGGGGATTCAAGGACATCAGGATGACTGGCTGCATTGGTGTGACCTTGAACTCCAGGTTCCTGGACTCAGTCATAGTAGCCATTGACCTTGGTGTGAGGAGGAGACGCTGGGTGGGCAGAATCTGCAGACAGGAAATGGGTCCCGGACAGGGAACATCTAAATTCCCAAGAAATGAAGATCAGCTGAACCAACCCCTCTGCCTAGAGAGGCACTGAAAACGGACATTGCCCCAAGCCAGAAGCCACTATACCTCCATGTTCCTGATAATAGCCTTACTGGCCCTATGACAAAATTCAGCCTTTTTCTACCCTCTCATAATTCCTCTCTGTACCCCCATTATGCCCTTCCATGTCTCCCTCCAACTGCTTCACTTTCCTCTTCTAAACTCTCCTCATCCCACTCCACCCACATACACTTAAACTCACCGCTCTTTTCTGATTATCCCATCGCAAACCTAGTTAATGGCCCTAGGACTTCCCTTGGCTTCTCAGTTCCTGAGGCTATCCAAGTGATGTGTCATGGGGCGTGGGCCACCACTTCATTAAGATTGGGGGCTCAGGTTAGGGTGTCTCAAGTGCTCAGACCCAGCTTCCGATTGGTTCAGTGTGTGTACGGGTGGTTACTTAGTCACTCCCTTTTCTTCCTGCCCTCCTAATAAATTCAATGAACAAGGGGACTGGGTTAGCCCCTTACACTTTTTGTTGTTGCCCCCAGTTTGAACTCCTGATTGGTTCAACATACAGCGTGTGGGTCTCACTTCTAGACTGGATCTAAGTGCAATGGGCAAATTTACTGATAGTCCTACAAGGAGCCTACTGTACACGAGGCCCACACTGGGCTCTGAGGACCATGTGGTGACTAAGGCAGACAAGATCACAGCTCTCCTGGAATCCACAGCCCATGAGAGAGAAAGAAGGAAAACATCCAAATAAAGAAATGAAACGATTTGGAGAAGCAAGGGCTCCAAGGAATAACTAAAATGAGAAGGAAGAGGGGATGTGCACTATGCACAAAAGAAGACATAATTGTCAGAAATATTTATGTAGTAAACTACATATCAGCTACATTGTGAAAATGAAAGCAACAAACAGGGAATTTTAATAAAGCCACTAGAAATACAAGGAGAAATGTATAAAACCACAACCTTAGTAGTGTGAGATCTAAATATGCCTCTTAGAAAATCTGAAAATGAAGTAGAAAAAGAATGCAAATATATATATATAGGATTTGAAGAATTTAACTAGTAAGTACAATTATAGAATTATTTAGAAAGTTACACCCTAAAGTAGTTACTGCACCTTCTCTAGTTATATCAAAGAAATATTTACAAAATTCATCAAGAACCTGGCTACAAATAGAAATTCCAAAATGTAGAGTTCCTTAAATCATACAAAAAAAATCAGAAGTAAACAAAAAGGAGACTCAGAAAAATTTCTATTTGCAAACTAAGAGACATTCTCATAAATCAGTAATAACCCTTGTAGATATTGCAGGTTGGGTTCCAGACCACTAAAATAAAGTCAATATCACAATAAAGCAAGTCAAATGAATTTTTTGGTTTCCCAGAGCATATGAAAGTTACGTTTACACTATACTGTAGGCTATTTAGTGTGCAGAAGCATTATGTCTGCAATAAAGAGGCACACACCTTGACTTTAAGATACTTTATTGCTTAAATTTTAAAAATACTTTATTGCTAAAGAATGCTACCATCATGTGAGCTTTCAGCAAGTCATAATCCTTTCACTGGTGGAGAACCTTGTCTCCATGTCCATGGCTGCTGACTAATCAGGGTGGTGGCTGCTGAAGGTTGGCATAACTGGCAATTTCTTTTTTTTTTTTAAGACTTTATTTATTTATTTGACAGAGAGAAACACAGCGAGAGAGGGAACACAAGCAGGGGGAGCGGGAGAGGGAGAAGCAGGCTTCCCGTGGAGCAGGGAGCCCGATGCGGGGCTCGATCCCAGGACCCTGGGATCATGACCTGAGCCAAAGGCAGATGCTTAACAACTGAGCCACCCAGGTGCCCCTGGCAATTTCTTAAAATAAGACAAACTGAAGTTTGCTACATCAATTGACTCTTCCTTTCATGAATGATTTCTCTGTAGCATGTGATTCTGATTGATAGCATTTTACCCACAGAAGAACTTCCTTGACAATTGGAGTCAGTCCTCAGGGTGCCTGGGCGGTTCAGTTGGTTAAGCATCTGCTTTCAGCTCAGGCCCTGATCCCAGAGTCCTGGGATCGAGTATTACATGGAGCTCCTTGCTTAGTGGAGAGTCTGCTTCTCCCTCTGCCTGCCACCCTCCCTGCTGTGTGCTTCCTCTTTCTCTCTCTGACAAATACATAAATAAAATCTTTAAAAAAAAATTTTTTTTAAAGAATTGGAGTCAGTCTTCTCAAATTCTGCTGCTACTTTATCAACTAAATCTATGTCATAGTCTAAATCCTTTGTTGTCATTTCAACAGTCTTCAGAGCATCTTCACCAGGAGTAAATTCCATCTCAAGAAGCCACTTTCTTTGTTCATTCATAAGAAGCAGCTCCTCATCCCTTCAGTCTGATCATGAGATCACAGCAATTCAGTCCCATGCTCAGGCTCCACTTCTAATTCAAGTTCTCTTGCTGTTTCCACCACATTGCAGTGACTTCCTCCACTGAAGTCGTGAATCCCTCAAAGTCACCCATGAGTGTTGGAATCAGATTCTTCCTAAATCCTATTTATGTTGATATTTTTACTTCTTGCCATGAGCCAGAATGACATATAGAACAGTGGATCCTTTCCAAAAGGTTTTCAATTTATTTTTCCCAGAGCCATCAGAGGAACCACTATCTACCTAAGGCAACCAGAGCCTTATAAAATATAGTTCTTAAGTGAAACCTGAAAGTCACAATGACTCCTTAATCCATGGGCTGCAGAATGGATGTTGTTATCATCAGGTGTGAAAACAACATGAATCTCATTGTCCATCTCCATCAGAGCTCTTGGTTGACCTGGTGCCCTGTCCGTGGGCAGTAATATTTTGAAAGGAATCTTTTTTTTCTGAGCAGTAGGTCTCAACAGTGGGCCTAAAATATTCTGTAGACCATGTTGTAAATAGATATGCTGTCATCTCAGCTTTTTGTTTCATTTAGAGAGTCCAGGCAGAGTAGATTTAGCATCATCCTTAAGGGCCCCAGGATTTGAGGGGATGGTAAATCACCATTGATTTCCACTTAAAGCCACCAGCTGCATTAGCCCCTAGCAAGAGAGTCAGCCTGTGCTTTGAAGCCAGGCATTGAATTTTCCTCTCTAGCTAGAAAGTCCTAGATGGCATCTTCTTCCAATAGAAGGCTGGTCCACCTACAATTAAAATCTGTTGCTTAAGTATAGCCACCTTCACAAATTATCTTAGCTAGATCTTCTGGGGAACTTGCTGCAGCTTTGACACCAGCACTTGCTTCACCTTGCAGCTTTTGGGGGGTTTTTTTTGTTTTTTGTTTTTTGTTTTTTATGTCATGGAGATGGCTTCTCTCCTTAAACCTCATGAGCCAACCTCTTCTAGCTTCAGACTTTTCTTTTGTAGCTTCTCCACCTCTCTCAGCCTTCATAGAGTTGAAGAAAGTAAGTGCCTTGCTCTGGATTAGGTTTTGGCTTAAGGGAATGTTGTGGCTGGTTTTATCTTCTATCCAGATCACTAAAACTTTTTCCATATCAGCAATAAGGCTGTTTCACCTTCTGATCATTTGTGTGTTCACTGGAGTAGCATTTTTAATTCCCTTCCAGAATGTTTCCTTTGCATTCACAGCTTGACTGTTTGGCACAAGAGGTCTAGCTTTTGGCCTATCTCATCTTTCAACATGCCTTTCTCACTGAGATTAATCATTTCTATCTTTTGATTTAAAAGCCATTTCACTTGAACACTTAGAAGCCATTGTAGGGTTAGTAACTGAATCAATTTCAGTACTGTTGTGTCCCAGGGCATAGGGAGGATGGAGGAGAGGGAGATAGGTGGGGGAACAGCTGCTGGTTGATAGAGCAGTCAACCCACACAATACGTATCCATTAGGTTTGCCCTCTTATATGGGCACAGTTTGTGGCCCCCCAAAAGCAATCACAATAGTAGCATCAAAGATCACTGATCACAAATTACTGTAACAAATATAATAGTAATGAAAAAGTTTGAAATATTTTGAGGATTACCAAAATGTAACACAGACACATGACATGAGCATGTGCTGTTGGAAAAATGGAGTAGATAGACTTGCTTGATATAAGATTGCTGCAAACCTTCAGTTTGTAAAAAACATGATATCTACAAAGTGCAATAAAATGAGGTGTCCCTGTATACAATTCAGTGGCTGCTATTATAGTCACAGAGTTATGCATCCATCACCACATATCTGGTATTAACGTACCAAAGGCCTTGAGAATGGAACTATGGGGTAAGCCATTGCCAGGTCTCAGTGCTATTTAAATCTCACCCCTAGGTGGTGAATACATGAGGCAAGATTAAATAGCACTGTAAAAGCTCTACAAGCTGAGCTTGCATTGGAACCACAACCCACAAAAAACAGATCTGAACTTGGAAGAATGAATCTAATTGGATACTATCTGTTAAAACAAACCAAAAAATCCATGTAATATAAACAAAATGTCCAGAATACAATCCAAGACTACTTTACACAGAAAAAACTAGGAAAGTCTAACAAATTATCAAGGAAAAAGATATTCAACACACATTAATCCCGAGACCCAGATGTTAGAATTATCAGACAGATTTTATAACAGCCATATAACCATGCTCCAAAAAATAAGGGTGAACGATCTTGAAATAAAAGGAAAGGCGGAAAGTCTATAAAAATAACCAAACAGAAATTTTAGAACTGAAAAATGCAATAACTGAAATTTTAAAAAAAGATTTTATTTATTTATTTGAGAGGGAGTGAGAAAGATGGATCATGAGCAGAGGGGAAGGGTAGAGGGAGAAGCAGACTCCCCAATGAGCATGGAGCTCATTGCAGGATTTGGTCCCAGGACCGTGGGATCATGACCTGAGCCAAAGGTAGACACTTAACTGACTGAGCCGCCCAGGCACCCCAATAGCTGAAATTTTTTAAAAAATCACTAGATGAACTCAAT